ACTCGACTGTCTGAAGTCTCGGGACCTCTTCCATCCTCCGGGAATTGTCCTCCACGTTTGGTCTCTGGATGCTGCTAACCGTCCTCCGGACAAGTGGAGTTTGCTAGAGCTGGTTGCAACTCAAGCCCACGGTTCTGATCGGTGGAAAAGGTTACAGGGTGATTTTTATCCACCGTTCACGGTGATGATGATGGCCTCTCTTGGAATTTTAATACTTGCACCGGTATTTCGAGATTTATAGATAAGTATATTTTTTATAGTTCCTTTCTTTTTTCTTTCCTTCTTTTGGACAAATAGTTATGTTTTAAAATTTGTTGCAGTTGAGTAAGAATTTTTGTGGATGTTTCTGATTTTTATTATAACACCGATGGAGAACTAGATGATGATGGACCTTTACCGAATTTTGATACTTGGAATACTTCGAGATTTATCGTAAGTTTGTTGTGATTGAATAAAAATTTTTATTAGAACTATCCAAGAATCTATAGATCAATTTTATTTGAATTTTCAATCGTTTTCACGTCTGTGTATTCGCGATGCAATAATGTTCATAGTTAAAGAAATGGAACTTCAATTATACATTCACGAATTTTCGATATTTAATTTCCCAATAAATAATTAAATAATTATTTCCTATCAAATCAACCACGAAATTAACATTCGTAAAATTTTCAAACCCAAAAATCAACGATTTGTATAAATCAGGAAAAACGTACACGCAGTTATACGGAGATTATTTCTAAAAAAAAAAAATGGCGCGCGGTAAACCAGCATTTCGTATGCACCGCCTGAAATGCGTTCCTAAAACCCGGTACCCGATCAACTACTTCCATTTGCACCGCGAGAACTAGAGAAAACCGAAGTTTTCATCCTCCAGCAGACACGATCATGCGCTCGAACGATACGATTACGAGTCACGTGGGCTGTCTGCCAATGGCGACGTTTTATCTCGCCCGAATCATGGCCGACTATTCATCAAAATCGTCCCCTTTCCCCCTGAACGACGACCGTTCCCATGAATCGTTCCGTCCGCGTGAAACGACGTATAACGCGCGAATAATTAATAATCCGAAGGAAAACGCGACCTTTCACCTGAACCATTTCGTTCGACCATCATTATCACGGACGAAGGAACGCCATAAAGAACGCCAAGACGCCACGAGTAATTGCCAATTTTCGTCGAGTCTCGCGAACGTTTTGAAAAATATGTAATCGATCGTGAAGCTCGATCGACGCTCCACCGAAAGACTTAACGTTTAGTTTTCTAGGTTAAAATCGCGTGACGTGTCGATGAACGAGCATTCCACCGCGAAATTGCGTGCAACCAGGCCACCCGATTATCGTTATTCGAACGACGAAAAGCTAGGCTACCATTGGCGGTTGGAAGGTTAGCCGACGTCGAAATTCCGGAAGCAAATATTTGACCGGATGAATTGTCCTGCTCGTTGCGAAACGATCTCATGATTGTCTATGTGGGTACGTCAAACCTTCGCCAGAGTTTGTAATCATCGACTGTAAATATATTCTACCGACGCGTATATATTCCCGTGTGTTATGCGTACGAATTATATTGTTTCTTCCACAGAGACCACTCGCGATGAATCGTTCGTCACTGTCAGCAGAGTTTGCCAACCTATTTCTAGGAAGTAAAAATCACTATTATTATAACTTGCTAAACAAATACCTGCGCCATCTACAACTTCTCACTTTAGCATATGTAGGTATTTTAGATGGAGTAAAGGAAATATAACTTCGATAAAATTTAACAGAAAATAGTAAAATAATAATTCTCTTCTCTCAATTCAAAATAAAAATAATTGAGTTTCAAAAGTAAAAGAAAAAAATGTCCGAAAAATTTAAGTAGAGAAATTCAAAATCTGCTTCACACCGACCAAGTATCTGCTAATACAGAAGAGAATTCGCGATTGATGCACGAGAGGGCGCACAAAGCACAGGGACATAAAGTACCATATCAAATCATGTTCGTCCACAATTGCGATCTATCGGGCGCACGTCAGGTATCACACCTTCGCGACCGAATAATTTATCGTGATCCAACGAGCAGGCAACAATATAAGCAATTTCACGCGCACAATACACCGGGCCAGGGGCCCGCCACCCCTCCAATAAATATGAACAGAGTAGTAATAAATTACGAAGGACGATTAGAGCGAACCGGCGATAAATTAACCTGAACGTGCCCGCGTGGTATATCAGCGTCGCGTCTCGCGAACGATTTGCTCGATCGGACACGTAGATTAATTCCTTTTTCCTTCACGACACGCTCGATCGATGCGACATCGGTCTTCCCTTTCTTTCCTTTCTGTTATCGGTTGTCGGTATTACCAATATCTTTTATGCGATCAACTTGCAATTCGAAATTGGCTTCTTAAATTTGAAATTAATTCTGATATTGGTTTTCTTATGAGTATAGAGTTTGTAAAAATAAAATATATTTGAAAGTCATTTGGTAACGGGAATAAAAACGATTGTTATGGAATGCCATTATAAGATTTAATTTCTTTTTTTCTAAAAATACAAAAATATTGGGGGATATTTAATTTTTAACGATAGGTTTTTAAAGTATGTTTAACAAGTTTTTGTATATTGCAATTTTGTTCTATCTTCGTTTGATTTAAAGTATTAGTTCAATTATATACTTTAGAAATAACATATGTGCTGAACGCGTCATATTCTCATGATAAGTACAACCTACGTTACCATCAAACATGTGCACTGTAATATGCGGTTACACTCCCAGAGGGCAGCAAGAACTCATCGTTTAAAATAGAATAATGGCGATTATGATACAATTAACAAAACCTAACAAAATATCCAAAGAATTACATTACAAATTCTTTAGATATCACGAAAATATAAATGATTTATTTTTCTATTTCTTCATATTATGCTATCACATAATTTATGTTACCTTTTATATTATAAAAATAATAAAAGAAAAAAGTAAAAACATGGAAGTAAACAATGAAAGAAATTAAAAATTTCCTACGACTCAGCAACCTTAAAAATGTTCCTTCAAGAATCAAACAACTACAGCACACCGCTCTATCAACTGAACTATTGAAGATGTTACGAAAATGGTGTTTAAACGTAAACAAACCCCCATACTGCAAAATTTCAAGGTTACTTGTTGAAATCAATACATATAGCTATAGATATATATATATATATATATTTACACATCATATATACGTATGGTGTGATACACCATATTTTAGACATTTGTAATCACAAATAATATATACGACTATTAAAAACTAACACGCATATCGCATTGAAATATTTAACCTTAATAAGATTGTTTAAAGAACTGATTGTAAACAGATAATTTTAGACTATATATATGAAGACTATCAGAAAAAGAAGATTAATACCAATAATGTCCGACATCACAGAGTATATATGCATCGGTCCTTTTTCTTTTCAAGATTTGCGATAAACAAATATTTATGCATGTCAGTGAAGTTAGATGACAATTAAAAAATAAATGGCAGACAAAAGTATGCGTCGTAGCTTCTAGAATATAAAGTAATTTCTGACAGAACTAAGAGAATGAAATGGTTCAATCTTTAGATCAAGGAATATCGATGCGATGTACGATTAAAATAAATCGAACCATTACTAATAAATCAATGGGTAACCTAAAAGACACTCACCCACAATGTACGTTGGAATGCCCTGTCGTTCGGACGGTAACCAAAATACACCTTGACACCAATGTCCACAGTATCGTTTGACGAAGTTAATATTTATCACAGACTTGCGTCAGGTCTGCCAAACATTTCGCAGAACTCCAAAGCACTTTTGCTTACACGAACCACACACTGCACTTTTAATCCCGAATGTCACTTATCGAACGTTTCCAACCAAGTTTTCTACTGTCAAATGCATCCTTTACGTACTACCTGCTGCCATCTAGCGGTTCTATAGTAAATTTGAATTTGAACCATTAAATATATCATATAATTTCCGTTACATTGAATTACAATTTTATAGTCTTTAAAATTGAATTTTGTACTTTAAAGATATTATATTATATTAACATTATTATATTGCTATTATATTTACATTGTTATTATATTATATTTTATTATATTATTTTAATACTGAACCCGAAATTATGCATAAAGAGAACAAAGAAATTTATACGAAAGCATAGCTTTGTATAAGTTATCAATTTTATAACTTTAACATAAATAAATATTATTTTTAATCAAATGGTCTATTAAAATTACAAAGGTTTGTATTTAGAATCACTTTTTTCTTTAATGAAATGTTAATATCTACGTTTAACACCAAGAATAAGAAGAGAAAACGTAACACTGACTGATTGCTAATTTCAAACTATTAACTAAGGACTGAAAAATAGTTTCGAGCAGATTCATCGCCATCTTCAGTTAAATTTTGACATTAATATTTTAATGCTTGTTTAAAATTTTAATATTTTAAACAATATATAAATGATGATGATACCAATCTTCTTCTTTAAATAATTTATTAATTTTAGCTTTTGTACATTATATCTTACAATTACTTCTATTATCAAATAATTTCATATTTTGCACTTGCTATTTTGAATCTCTTTATATTAATTAATATCTTAATTATCTCAATTTAATTTATCTCAATTTAATTTAATATAATTTATTTAATTTTTATGTATTAATTGAATTCTTTTCTCCGATGTAATTTGTATTGTTATAGTATATTTCACATAATGTTTATCATTATTAAATGATGTGTGAAGTTATTCCACCGAAAAACTTTAAAACAAAGAAATATGACATAACCTTAAAATATTACGTTAGTGTAAATAGAAAGTGCAACAATCTATAACCATATATTTTATTTTTTTACCTTTGATTGAAAAATGACAATAAATTTGATAGAAGTAATGTAAAAAAATAAAAGAAAGTGCCAAAAATGTATGTTTAATTGCTGTAATTATTTGATTGTACAAATATTGAATAATGTAATCATAGTGAATAATAAAATGGAACAAAATGTAATAATTACAAATTCAAATGATGAAAATGAACAAATGAGGAGAAAGGAAATAGGAGTTTGGTTCAATGATCGAAGTATACATATGAACCAAAGTCAAATATTATCCCATCAGTTATCATACCATAAACATCAAAACAATATATGTAAGCAAAGAGCAAGCAAACTGTATATCATTTTTATAAAAAACAATTTCAGTTATTTTTAATTAAAACTTTTACTTGTAGGTCCAATAAGTTCTTTGGATAATGCATCCACAAATATCCAATGGTGGAAAGATACAGCTATCACGGATTTAATAATAGAGCCTGAGTATCAATATGAAGCAGTTCCTTCAACAAAGGATTCTGTAACAAGTAATAACTAGCAATATTTAAAATATTATTAATAACATTGTTTCATTGATTACTTTTATTTGTTTTAATTTCTTATTAGATCAATCAATAAATGCTCAATTATCCAATTCATTAGAAGAAGTAGAATTAAATGTTAAAAAAGATGCAAAATCTAAGCAATTGAAAAAGTCAAAAACTATAAAAGAATATAGAGAACCCCTGAAGCGTACAAAACATCCAGAATTATGGAAAGTAAATATTAAAAAAAATGCTAGACTAAGGGGTGAAGAGTATATTGGAGTTGGAGGTAAATTAAATTAATTTTAGAAAAAAAAATGTTGTAAGTAGTAAAAATAAAATTTATATGAAAAGTTTCTAAATTAATAGGAAAAATAGTACCAGCAAAAACTATGGGTCCTCCTTGCAAATGCCGCATGCATTGCACTGAAAAAATAAATGAAACTAGTCGGAAAGAACTTCATAATGTTTTTTGGAAAACATGTAATTGGGAACAGCGAAAACAAAATATCGCGTTATCGGTTAAGGAATCTCCGAAACAACGTACTCGATGTCGGGAAAACATTAAATCGAAACATCGTAGACAAGTTACCTTTACTTATTCACTTTTATTGAATGGAGAATTTATTACAGTATGCAAATGCATGTTTCTTAGCACATATGCATTATCTGAAAAATTTGTCCGCCATGTTATGGGTAAAAAAAGAATGTCTCCAGAAGGAGTAATAGAACCAGACCAAAGAGGAAAGCATACACCAAAAACAAAGAAAAGTGAAAGGGTTAAGGATAGGGTACGTGAACATATCAAATCGTTCCCGATACAAATATCAACAGATCCTACGGATTGTACAGGGAAAAAATATCTAGACTCTAGATTAAGTATAGCTGCTATGCATAAACTTTATGTATCAAAATGTAAAGAAGACGGTATTTCAGAAAGTGATATAGTTAAAGAGAGTTACTATAGAGAAATATTTAAGTCAGAGTTTAATCTTGGTTTTAAACAAACAAAATTTAAGGAGAACAACTGAATTATACTAAGCAAATAATTCTTATATTTGATTATATAGAATCAAGTTGATATATTATGAGATTATATGCATTAATCATGAATATTTATAAATCTTTTATACATTAAGATTACTAACATACATTTTAAATATTGCTAGTACAAAGAATGATATATTTTACTTTACATCAAAGAAAATAAAAAACGATTTAAAAGTTTAATGTTTATTGCAATATTTCAATATTTAAAATTGTATTAAGTATGTTATTTTTAAAATCACAATATAAAATGGCATGATTTTTTATGTATTATATTATAAAAAATTATACTTTGTATAGTACTTTCTATAGCCTTCATCATAAAATTTGTTATTGTGAAATTTCGCTTGAAGGAAAAACATATTCGAATGTTCTCAGTTTGTTTACGCTAAATGCATAAACGTAAAAATGTTATAATTAAATATTAAACATATTCACATACATTTTTATACACATTCATTACAAAATACACTACTGTTAAAAAATAACAGATCTACACTTTTAAACGCTACGTTTCAAACGTATAACAATAAGCCATAATTTTAACATTTACCAGTTTAAAAGAATTATGTACAAAATATACAAAAATTTTTTAAAACAGTTACACTACGTATTTTTTTTAAATACGTACGACAGACAACTGTGACGTTATAAAGCTAAAAAGGTACTAAGTTAAAACATTGTGATTTTTTTTTCTACAACTTCAACGACTACACAACAATGATTTTTTACTTTCCTCGTTTGTTTACCAGCTATAACTATATCTTTCTTCAAAATTAAAAATTTAATTTTTCTCTGAAAATGAACTAACTTCTTTGCATCGCTTTGTTGCTGCTTCAACTGCTCCAATTATAGCTGATCTCAATCCGTGCTCTTCCAAATAGTGAATTCCAGTTATGGTAGACCCTAATTAAAATAACGGTGAATAATCGTGAAAGCAAGAACACGAAAAAACTTGCAAATATGTTTTATAATGTCAAATAGAGTCTTTTCGAACCTGCTGGCGAAGCTACATCATCTTTAAGTTGTCCTGGGTGTGCCTTTGTGTCTCGAACCATAGTACCAGCTCCAAGAACAGTTTGCGCAGCTAATTTATACGCGATTGGCCTCATGAGACCCATTTTTACACCTCCATCAGCCAAAGCTTCTATCATCATATATACCTATATTGGTAAATGAAAATATTACTATACACATCATCTCCTATAAACATTAATATAAATGACTGCAAATATGTTCAAATTTTTAGGCATACATATGCAGGCCCGGAACCAGCCAAGGCCGTAACGGGGTCAATTAAATTTTCAGATACTTCTTCGCATAAACCCACGGAGGAAAATAATTTTTCTGCTATTTCAGCTTCCTTATCACCGGCATACTTTCCACGAGCATATACCGTTGCGCCACAACCCACTAGGGCTGGTGTATTGGGCATTACTCTAATTACTGGTGTTCCATCTGGCAGAGCCTAGAATGAGAATTAAAATCTGAAGTAACATTATGAACATACATATGTAGTTTATTTCCAGGTCAAAAATATTGTAATATTACTAATATTTTAACTACTTTATTATACTAAAATAACTTTATTTTATTCCGTTATAAGCAAAATTGAAATTAAAAGGAATAAAATGAAACATTACCTTTTCTAATGAAGTTAATGGGACTCCCATAACAATAGAAAGTAAAAGTTTTCTATAATTCTTCAAATCTGGAAGAACCTGCGGAACCACTTGTGGTTTTACTGATAAAATTAAGACGTCGCCATAATCAACTACTGGTTCGTTTGAAAATACGGTCTCTGAACCCATTTCCTGAAATTATAAGTTAATCAGAATATTAATACTATGAAATGCAAATTAGAATACTTTGCACACTTGATAACGAAAGGTTCAATATATCGACGAGCGTAAATGTACAATAAACTAAATTCTATAGTTGCAATACAATTTATTCAGATTACCATCAAGCAAAGATAAGGCTCGGTATTGGAAATTTTCCTAAACGTGATAATTACTGAGAAATAATAATCATCCAGGTGTTTATAGTCAATTAGTGATAGAGTTTAAAAGCTCTATAAGTACAGAAGACTTATGCGCTATCGAAAAACTGCTTAAACTTAACTAATAAAGAATCAAAGAAGCAATTAAATACGGAGATACAATATCTTTGAATTGCAAATTGAAATTGTCATCAACGTGATGATCGTCAATTAAATACGTTAATTATTTTAATCTTAATACCCAATCAAGTTGAGATCGTCGATTACTTTTTATGTAAACTTGATATGTCCAGCTAATACTCTAAAAAATGAGTATTACTATTATGTATTAAGCGTTCCTCAAGTAGATTTTCATCTTCTTTATCTGTTTGTCGAGTAAACAAAAAATATTTATTGTTTTCATATTTTTTGAAACAACTGCTTCAAACTGATAACGTTAATAACCAGATGACTATCTTTTATCAGCATATCTTCATATACCTTGGCATGCAATGATAACAAATTAAACAGTCGTGATAAACAATTATTTTCACCTTAAACGCATCTATACTGCCCACATCGTTCGGAAGGCAACTGGCCAACATCATTTCACCCTTGCTCAATCCTAGAAATCACAATGATACAACATTGAAAGATCAAAAAGACAAAAATATCAACTCCCGCAAAAATATTTAAATTTAACGTCTTTCGTTCAAACTATTAGGTAAGTATTAAAATATAAATACGTAAATATACACATAAAGTAAAATTAATATGCAAATGTATACACAAAATTTAAAAATATCGATAATGAATAATTACATAATCCAAGTATACAACGTCATCGAATAAACGAATATCAGTTAGCATTTTTACCAGCTCGTATAAAACCTTTGGCTAGAGCTTGGGCCATCTTGCCGCCTCCAATGAATCCGATCTTCAGCATCTTCATATCAATATTTAATGCAATTCTTTTCTTTCTGTCCTCACCGCCAGCAAGCAGCTGATCGCTCACTGTACAAAAAAAAGAGGGCACGTATCATCGAAAAATTATTATTTCAAAATAGGTTTATCATCTCCATCACGTTGCAATTCACTTTTATGATCTTCACTTACACGCTCATACAACAAACAAATCGAAATATTAAGTTGCAAAACAGAAACTATTCTTAGAAGATTTCTCTCTCAATTCAATTCCTTCTATAAATAACTAATTCAAAGCGAATTGCTCTTCTGGTACGAAAACGCGATAAATATACAAAGATTAGAATTCGAAATAGAAAAGTTTTTAATCCAAAGTCGGAATTCCTAATTTGTACAATGTAAAGACTAATACCGTCCGATCGCGATATTTACAAGCAAATCGGTGTGCTTCTGGTTCCCGTTTCTCGCCCCATCTTCCTCGGTACAGAGATGATTTCAGTAGTTTTTTTTTTTTTATGTAATCATGCACGAGATAAGGTCCTCTATGCGCAATATATTTGCGTTCATTACGCATATGCGACGAACAAAACGCGAGTAATAAACGTCTCGAAACGTCTCTGCGAAACATTTCGCTAGTGAATTATTTGACGTTTTTCTTGCTTTTTTTTACAAAAATTACGAGTCACGATAATTCATCATTCTATCGTGGTTCGCGACAACTGAAGGTTCCGTATAAATCGCTTTTGTTATACTTTGCTACTTTGATAAATGAACAACGTATTACATAATTGCCATTCAAATTGCATTCGATAAGATGAATTTTAATCTAGAAAGTGAACCAGGTCACGCCTAATTTGACAGCGGCGCTAAAAACATTTGTATTTAAATTTCTCAGTCAAAAAATATAAACAATACTGCATAATAAAGTTTAAGTTGATATCAAAAAATATGTAAATTAGTTGATATGATATATAAAATAAATAAAATAAATTTTTTGTCACCTTAGTTCATCGCAATCGAGTTTGCATTACTTGAAACATTAAAGCAATCATGTTTTAATATGGTTCTAAAAAATGAAATTAATGCAATTCGTGTACAATTTCAGTTACGTTACAATTTCTTGTATTTATCGGATCTAATACCACAATGGAATTTTTTGAGCAAATAATGTTCGAATTAACTTAGAAATAATAATTTAAATAATCATTTCCTGCTTTGAAAATACAATCATATTCCTCTTGTATATCTTAACTTGCGTAATACGTCGTAATCTTTATGTCGCTGTATATTTCTTGAAGCAAAGCAATACCAAATTTATATAGCAGAAGGAAATTTCAACACCGTTTAATCATTAAATCCTAATGTTTTACCGAGCGATCAATTGACTCATGAAAATATATCTGTGACTATTTTGAGCACTATGTTTTCGCTCATATTTCAATTTAAGTTTAACTACATCGCGTTCAGTTAATGCATATGAACGTGATGATTGTACGACATAAACAGTATCACGTGCGAGAAGACTTAGCGATTGATTAAGAGAGCTCACGTTTCGACCTGTTATCGCGGATCATTTGATAATATCGCGATTCAGATTGAATGGAAACGATATTAATGTTTCTCTTACTCACCATTTCGGGCATTTAGGCGTCGACGAAGTCGTCGGCCTAACCGTAGAAATTCCATTGTCTTCAATCCTGTAGTCATCTTCCTTTCTTTCTTCTTCTCCTTCCTTCGCAAAGACTAGAAAGTAATTAATAGATGCGACGTGTTGTGATTAAATGTATGGCGCCACGATAAACTGCAAGCAAATAGAATTTGCTGAGAGATCTGCTAATTTTATACTAGAGACTCTTCAAATACATAAATGTACATATTGTTCATCAAAGATAGGTAATCGGTGATATTAAACTGAATTATAGGTAAACGACGTAGATCTTGGAGTTGGTAATAAATAAAATATAAATATAAAATACTAGTCGATAATATTTCTTGTATTTAATCCTTTTAAATCTTGTACCAGTGTTTGCTCCGAGGCATATTTTATATCGATTCCATATATAATTGTCAATTATTGTGGATCGCTGTATTTATTTCATAAATATTTTTTTGTAATTATAGCATTAATTTTGAATTATGCCTTTTTATGATAGGAAAAACATCTAAACAGATATAACTATGAAACAGACATTTATCACATTAAATATGTGCAAAATATATAAGTATGATATTCCAAAAAATACGTATAGTAAATAAAAAACTAATAATTGCATTCGTGATGAAAGGCACGTTGCGTGTACACGTGCAAAATTGCGCCTATGTTGATTTGGTATCACGCGTAATTCATAATACGTAATTAGTGATCCTGAATTTATTTTTATAATTTTAATAAAAAGTAATTATTAGTTTGTTTTTAATTAAATTGCTTAAATTATCATACTTACACAATTTACATTCTGTAGGAAATACTTCTTGACAATCTTCTCATATAATGATATCACTCTGCAATCGATAAAACGATTGTTCCGTTCGCAATTGTGTACAATATTTAATATACACACTGTCTCTTCCCTGCTCTTATATACCAACGTGGATCACCGTATGTAGCTGAAATACGACTAACGATTATTGTTCATCAGACACGGAAAACTACCTATTCGGTCGTAGCCAATCACAATCTAAACATAATTGTGTCACCCCCTTATCTGATACAGTACCTTTCCAAGTCTAGCGGATAGGACCTGGAATTATCTACAACCAGGTATAGCACCATCCTCGTGTCAAAATTTACTAAAAAATCTCTATACCACCGAAACTTGTTTTTCGATAAATATTAAAAATACTAGTTTTAACGTGGAATTTAAAGGAATGTAAATGTGACGCAATAACAAAATTAAAATGTAATAATTAAATTTGATTTATCAGTTACGCTATCGAAAATTATCACCTTTCCCTGACAAATAATCAAATATAATAAATGTGGAACTATTCTTAAGAGTTATAAATATTGACGAAACAAATATAACGCGTGATTTATAAGCTACAAAATTTTCTAAAAAAACGTTCCAGTGATGATACATAGATGTCAGTAGCAATGTGTTACGCGATCATGCGCGATTGTAATGCATATGTCATGCAATGAAATCGATTTACTCGTGTAAAACACAAATAAACAAATAAAATAGTTTTTCGGAACTAAATATTATTGTGCAGATAATATAATTTAATATGTATTACTCTATTGGTTACTTGTATTTATACGGAACTGTACCAACGAACTTATTTAAAATTTATTATTTAATGGTGAAGGATTTAATACGTTTATTGTGCATTATAATATTTTGTGTATTATTTCTGTTGTTATTTTTATATTATAGTACGAAATTGCTTAAAATTCAGTACTTACCGAAATCTGACACTAATCATCGTGAGTGACCGACGGAGCAACAAACATGTAAATGGGTGAGAATTACTCGACTCCTGAAAGAGAAGCTTTCTTTAGTCTGTTTCCTGTATTTGCATATGTATTCGTTGACTAAATTTGTACTTCGTCACTCTTTCTTTCAGTTTTCATTATCTGTTTCTCTAGAAATGTCATACTAAAGTAAACTGTGATGCATTAAATACTATGATAACACAAAATGTTACCGCACTATAGATGCTGGTATATATAATTTCAACTAAGGTAATAAAAGCCATATACATATGTGTATCAATAGATATATTGTATTGAATATATCACACATTTCAGTAAAAAAGTATAATCGTTATATTATAAATATATCATATAAATGCAAGTTTTAATTCGCAAATTAAATTTGCGTCTACCAATTTTCAAGAAAATATTCCATAATATGCATTAATCACCATTTTTAATGTATATTATTAATTTCAGTCTCGTATACTTTCACATCAAGTAGGTTTATGGAAACAGTGAACTGGAAATGCAATTAGAAAGTTATAAAATACTTTTGCTGTTGCATAGTATATTTTGAGAAAACAAACCTGTAATAATTACCAATTAGAAATTATTAAATCCGTTAAATAAAATATTAATACATAAATTCCTTACAATTGTAATTATGTTTTGGAAAAAATTATCTTTCATAGTAGTAATAATATATGAATAAAGCTTTTTTCGTTAGCGATTATAAAATGATTAAGATAGTAATGATAAATAGTTTCTTTTATTGATACGTTAATTGAATTATTATTCAACAAATATTTAAATTAGGGTTCTACGTAAGAAGAGTTAAGGTCGACGAAAGCGAGTTTTGATTTTACACAGTTGTCCGGATTCAGTCGGTGACGAGCGGTCGACGAGTTCGCACGCGTTTGTCTGTTTGTTATCGTGATCATTTTTTCTTTGATCTACGAAAGACACGAACATTTCTAATATCCCATTTTGAGGAATCGAAGTCCAGAATCGAAAACACGTCGTTATCTAATCCTTGTTGAACATCGATCAATATATAGACTTTCTTAATCAATCGTAATCGAATCAAATTTTCTTTGATTTACGTTGCGTAATTCTAAATTAACGTGTAACAAGCAAGAAGAATGAATTTAACAAAGTGTTTGACAATATCAAAATAGCTATAGTAACACTGCGTGACAGAAGGAGCAACAGTTTTATTTTTTCTTTATGCAACGTTCTTTGCTGAAAATTGACACTGCGTAGTCAGTAACTAAATTTATTGTAAAATTGTTAGTCATCAGAGAATGCCTTCACAACTAAGCAAATTCATCGATATATCCTGTAAGGAATATGCACATCCTTGGGGAGATTCCTGTGTGAATACAGCCGCCGGTCTTGGCTTAGATGCTCTTCAAGAATGCCTAAGGATATATTCCACAGTTTATATAGTATGTTTATCAATTCTTTCTCTTAGTTTTTATTTCAGTTTATTATATCATTTTGCCGATGTAACGATCGTATCGTAATTATTAACAACTGGCGTATATACATTATGCGTAACACTTTTTTGTTGCAATTCTGAGCTATGTAAATTACACTTGGTTGAATCACGATACACGATAAATAATAACGAATAGAATTTTATGTTGCCTCTTAACAGATGTTTATTGTTAGATTTATTTCGTCAGCTGATAAATTGATAACTTTTAAATTACTTTATTGCGTAATATTTTTTCTTTTGTTCGAAAAAATTATGAAAAACTCATTCATTATCAAATATGTATAATTTCTGTCCTTATCGGTCTTTTTTAGGTTGCACTTTTATTAAAAGGAAAGAAACCATCTAAAGGAGATATTAAAAAAACGATATTGGGTTTTTTACAGTCAACAGCTTTCCTCTCATGGAGTGCTTTTTCCTATTCTATGTTCATTTGCCTTTTAAGGTTTGCATAAATAAATATATGATTTTGCTCATATCATATATAAATAGAAATATTTGTTTACTATATTATATTATTATATGAGGGAATTAATTAAATTTTAGAAATGAAAAAATTATAAACAGGCTTTTTGTGTTTTATTCCATTGTTTATTATTATTTGTTAAATTAACATTATAATTATTGTATAATGTTTATTTGATTTAACGAAACTTTTGATTGTGTAGCATTATTATATTTATGTAAAACAATGTATATTTCAGACGAATACTTGGAAACTTCAACTTCCTGACTATATCATTTTTTCCATCATTTCTATCTAGTTTGTCTGCTATTATTATTGAGAGGCCATCAAGGCGTACTTTATTGAGTTTATATGTATCTAATATTGTGAGTAGATTTATCTTATAATTCCTTGTTAGGATGAGATAAAATAAAATTTCTTTATAAAAATACATATAAGACTATAGAAACTATAATTTTAATATTTTTATAAATTAATGATATCCTTCATCAGGCGACAGAAACATTATTTAGAATGGGGGTAGCAAGGGGATATTATTCTCCCATTTCACAAGGTGGAACATATATTTTTGCTACAAGTTTAGCATTATTGCTTTATTTTTATCGTACTAAACCAAATAACCAAGATTCTATATATAAAATACTTAGGTATTTATTTATTCAACTTTTTTATTTATAGCGTTCATAAACAATTTTCAAGTAATTAGACAATTTTTACTAGAATCATTGTTGGAAAATATGAAGGGACTGATTATCCTAAAGAGAAAAACGAATTACACTATGAAATGCAATTATGCTGTTCTAATGAAGATAATAGTGGTAATTCCGTAGACAAGCATGATGTAAATAAATCTCATAAAAAAAATGTTAATATATTTATGAAATCCCTTGAGACATACAAAAAACTTACAGAAACATTAAAGCATAAAGATAAACATATTTCCTGCCCACATCCATTTAGTTGTGCTCATTACATATTAAAGGTATGTTCAAAAGTGAATAAATGTTAAAGATTATGTAGTTAATATGAGATATATATATATATATATATATATAT